CCCCTATTGTCTGCAGAATAACAGCAGTGACAGCATTGACTTTCTCTAATGAACAGCTGCTCAGTGCTAGGATCCATTCCCGGAGGAGGCTCGCAGGGATGAATAAGGTTTCATGCTCCTCCTCCAGAGAGGGTGAGAAAGTTTGCAGAACAGAAGATTGTTGCTTGATTGTCAGAGATCTCCAAATCTTGACCTGCTGACAGCTGAGAGCTGAATGTGTTGCCATGCTAGTCATGTTTAACCTTGCAGCACTTTTGCCAAGGCAGGGTGTTCATGGAATCGGGAGAGAGGTGTTAGTTCCCATCTAAGAAGTCATCCTCTTGTCACTGCAAACGACCATCACAAATTGGCTGAACAAAAAGCATTTTCCTCCTGTTGCACTGCCTGAATTCTTTGCTGATACTCTGCACTAACAAGAGCAGGGAGGCGGGAGAGGATCACTCTTGAATTATGGATGCATTAGAGGCAGAGCCAAGTTATGAACTCTTGGAGATGGAAGTCACTGATGGATATTATAACTCAAGCCATAAGCTCAAATAAACATTCTGAGCTTTGTCCCAATCAGCTCCCCCTGGTGCTTCCCTTGACATCCCTGCTCAGAGTTCACCTTCACTGTGAAATGACACAATTGGATTTGTGGAGATTGTGCAGCCTCAGGAGTGTGCTGAGGTGTGTCTGGCCACTCACTCACTCACAGGTTCCCTGTGCTCCCCTCCCCACCTCCTTTTCAATTTATAACACACATCCTCATAAATGCTTTGTTATATTTCCTCTGTGCCTGCCCTGAACCCAGGCACTGAGGGATGCCTGTGAGAGCAGTGGTACAACAAAGTGGGGCACCCAGGTTTGGCCTGACTCCCCTGTCTCGTGACAGAAAAGTAGGAAAACACATAAACTGAGAAGTCTTGTGTAGTGAGTCATTTGGAAACAGTAAACTGCAGGCAATATTCTGATCAGTAAGTCTGGGCTCTTGGCCTGTGGTAGCACCTTTGTTGTCTCTCTGTGCGGGGGTTAACAAACTGTGCAGGAAGAGGACTGCCTTCTCAAACTCTTTCAGTGCACTGAGAATTTCCCTCAGTTCTGTGCACTGCTCACAGTGATCCCAGAGCCATTCTTGGCACCCCGTATGTGAAAAGAGGGTAAAATTGATCCATCTGATTCAGAAGGGCAGAAAGTTCACAAAGGCCTCAGTGATGGAGAGTTTTGATGTGAGTCCATGGGTTGTGCCTTGGGCTGTGCAAAGCTTTTGCCTGGAGCAGCTCTGCTGCTTGGAGAGACAAAACAAAGCTGGCAGAGTGGGAGAAATCTCAAAGCCCAAGTTTTAAATAGCAGCTCTGTGAAAGCTTTTCATGCCCCAGAGCAGCCAGCACGGCGCAGGTGCATTCAGTGACCTGTTTTGTTCAGGCAGTGAAAGATGTCTTGGAAACTGCAGCTCTTTTTTTCTTTTGGTTCTGACAATTCCCTCTTGACCTGAAATTATCTTAATGGCAGTGGAGACAAAAAGCCTCATGTTGGTTTTACTCTCCAATGTGTGTTGGAATCCCCTGTGTGGAAGTTTCCCTGGTTAGCTGAATACTGTTCTTGGGAACTCCTCACTGAAACACAGTTTGTGGGGGTGAACTTGTGATCCATTGTGTCCAACCAGCCTAGAGAGGTGGCAAGGGGAAAATGTGCTCCAAAGGGGCTCAGTTTGAAGAGAAACTTGACTTGTGGACTTGCTCTGAGACATCCACAATGGAATACAAAGCTGGAGAGAAAAGTGTTTGTGCAAGAAGTGTAAGGGGCATTCATCCATGCACACACCCAGGAATGCACTGAGAAAGCAAGCAGAACTGTTTATGTTTGTAATATAATTTTCAGTAATAATCAGATATGGGGCCTGGACTAATATATTTTCCCAATAGTTTTTCAAGGCTGAAACTAAGGTAAAACCTCTCTGCTATTGACTGACAGCACTACCAGGCAGCTGTCAGGGACCAAGTGATACAGGACAAGTGCCTTCAGGTGAAGCTTCTATAACCTGTAAAGTGCTTTTACCAGTCAATACCTGGGGCCATGCACCTGATGGAGCAGATGAGTGTTTAAGTCAGGTTTGAGTAGCTTTCTCTCTTTCTCTGCTCTAAGGTTGGTAGAAAAAGCTGCTTGGAAATCTGGCAGGGAATATATTACCATCTGGCTGGTGTTATTTCTTTTTACTCTAGATTTATTTTTTCCCCAAGCAGTGCAGAAAAAGACAGCTTTTTGCACACAGATGTGCCTCAGCCATGTCCTGCCCAGCAGGTATGTGGCAGCCAGTGGTGCTGGGTAAAGAATCTCACTCCCAGGGCAGGATGGACATCCTACCATGGATATTCCTGCTCCCAGGATATGTGGTGTCAGCTGCTGCCCTGCTCCTTTTCTTCAGAAGCTGCCATGGCCCTGCAGGCAGTGATTCGTGCCCAGGGTGGGCATATTGGGCTTGCTGAGCCCTGTGCAGGGTGAGCTGAGCCTGAGCCTGGGCTGTGTGGAGGTGTGTGACCACATCCAGCCCTGCTAAGCTCAGAGCAGCTCCTCACCTGGCTCCTTTGCACCACTTTCCCCAGCTCACTCATCACAACTTACTGGGTTCTCCAGTGTCTTTCCAGCACTGTGGTCTTCCCTTGAATGGCAGCTGTAAAACCCTTTGCCTTTGTTTCTGATACTCTTTCATGTGTTTCCTTCCAAATCCTGGCTGGAAAGCTCCTTCTCCTTGTTCTTTCTCTGACATTGCCTCATCCCTCTGTGCCATGTGGGGTATTCACCTCACATTAACAATGTGCAGAGCAGCCTCACCCATCTAGCTGGGCCTCACTGAACTCCCTGTGCTCAGTTCTTGTGCAGGACTAATGATTACTTGTGGATTTCAGGGCTTTGTTGAACTAGAGCTGGAGTTAAAAGAAAGCTGCTGTTGCAGAGAGCCTTGAGTTTCTCTGATCCTTGAGCTTATGTGCCTGGGGTGGAAGCTCTTGAGCCAGTTTTTGCATTAAGCCCATTTTCTGTCTCAGTAGTTCAGAGTGACCAGGATTTTGATCTGATTGTCAGTGACTTCTCAGAATCCATATCTGCTGAGTTTTCTTCCTGTCCCTATGCTGTTTCCCAAGTTGTCCTGCTGCAGCCAGGTGTGCTGGCTGTGAGGCTGAAGGTGTCTGTGGATGTGGACGATGGGAGCAGCAGTGGATGTGATGGAGCAAAGCCCTGGCCAGCCCAGAAGGAGACTGGGTTTGCCTGTCCACACCAACCCCTCTGTGTAGGGTACTCATTCCACTGGAAGGAGGACAGCTGGCTTGGCTCTTCCCTGCCCCAGGGCAGCTCCTCTTGCTGCTGTTTGCCCAGGGCTGGGATTGCAGGTCAGCGTGGTCCGGCCACTGCTCCAGGTCAGGCACTGTGGGCGCTCCTCGGTCTCTGCTTCCATCTGCTGGACAAGCACTGGCTCCTGCTCACTCCTGGTTTCCCTTGGTGCCTCAGGGATTCTGCTGGCTCCTCTTGACCGTGCTCACATAATTCTAGAGATGGAAATCCTTTTCACGCACGTATGGACTGCGAGAACATTTCAGCCTGGAACCAACGCTTTGGCAAGACTGCCCTGCCTAGATTGACTGGCACTGAGCCTGGGGCTGGGCTGAGCACAGTGCATTCTGTGCAGCCCTCTGTGGCCTCCTGCCATGCAGGCAGCTCTGCCTGTGAGGCTGAAGCTCCTCTGGTTTATATCCCCAAGGAATTCAGATATGAGTGAATTGTTTGGATGCTGCATGAATGGCCAGTGAGGGTCTCCAGAAGTGACCAGAGCAGGTGATACAGGATAGCATGTAAAGAAACTGGGCAGGGAGGACATGGGTGCTTTCCTTGGACATCTCCCTCAGCATCTGACAATCAGGGTCCCAGTCAGAGTATCCCAGTCAGGAGCATTTTGGACTGGGGACTGCAATGAGACCATATTTAACAGTCCTGGTAAATGTGTCCTTTTAGAGCTTGTCTGAATCTCTTGGGTTTTGAACTCTGCAGCATCTTGATACACTGAGTTCAGAAAGGTCCTGCTTTTATTTGTTTGAGACCTACTGCCAATAACTTTCATTGCAGGCCTAATTGTTACTGGCTCTATGTGACTCCTCTACAGTTATTTCTCCCTTCATGAGGACAACAACAAAAGTGTCCCCCAGAGTTAGAGGTATTTGAGAGAGCTGGAGGAACTAGTGAGGGTCATGAACACTCTGGTCTGCTCAAGAGTGCTCCGGTTGTTTTCATCTGACAACAGAAATTTGGCTGCTGCAAAGGCATTTCCTTAACCTTCCCTTAACCTCTGCTCAGCAGTGGGCAGACACAGGCAGAAGTTTCATTTCAAGCAGAATATCCCCATCCCATTCTCAAGGCATTGTGCAATGCAGCTTGGAGACCTTCCTGTAAACCTTGCTTGATTTAGGTGTTGGCTCTGGGTCTGTGCACGTACAAGCTACACAGCACTGTCTCCTCCAGATGTGGGATGACTGATCAGTCTTTGTGCTGTCAGGTGAAGGCCAGGACGCAGCCATGACCTCTCTGTGTTGCAGTTTACAGTCCAGCATCTGGCTATTAAAATTGCTTTAGCCAAGTGACTGGATTCTTTCTGAGCTGCTCCAGTGCTTTGGCAGGGTGAGTGTTGGTGTTGCTCTGTTTGAGGACAGCGGTGTCTTGTTTCAAACATCCATGTAGCAACAGTTCATGACGGTGTTGGGCTGAAATTCTACTTGTTTTCCATGTGAAAATCCTGTTATTAGAAGCCGTATGATTAGAGTAAATTTTGCTGGGCAGATTGTTTGTTTCTTTAGTAAAAATTCTGTAGTCATATAAAAGCAAGACATGTTTTTCTCCCCAAGATGGGCCCGAGCCATTTTCACACATGAGACTGCCCAGGGAAGCACAGCTAGGGAGCCAGGACTGTATTCTTTTTTTTCTTGGGAACTTTGCATCTTGGAAGGACAGATTTTTTTTTTAATTTTTGACATTAGGTTCCCAGGCAGCAGGAGGAGATGTCACCATCGTCGCTGCTCCAGAGAACACCACGGTGGTGGCTGGGGAGAGCGTGGTGATGGAGTGCATGGCAGCTGCTGATCCCACCCCCTTTGTCTCCTGGATACGACAAGGTGAGTGTGAGGGACAGACTAAACTTCTGTTATCCATAGGAACCTGTGGATACTACATTCTAAAAATCTATTAAGAGTGGAAAAATCTGGGACAGGAAGGGTGCTTGTAACGTCGATACCTAATGACACAGGTGGTGGCGTAGTGTGAGGTGTCCTTGCTAAAGTGGAATTATTAATTAAATCTTGAAGGCTACAAAGCACACAATTCAATTTATAGTTGTTTCACCTATGCCTGGATGCCTTTTGATCTAAATTAGTCTTTCTCATGTGAACTGGAGCAGTAAAGGTCATGAGATGGGGTCAGGTGCCACTCCTCCCCGGGCTCCAAGGTTACTGGGGATTCTGTGGAATCTGCCATTGCACTGGAGAAATAGCTTGTATTATCTTGCAGCATTATAAAACTTGATAAGATCTGTTAATCCTTGGAGTGACTGGGACTGTTACTGGGAGGTTTTTGTTGAATGGAGGGATTGAGGAGCTGCTTAGGTCTCATCAGAGGTGTATGAATGAGCTGGGCTGGCAGATGTTACCCAGGGCTGATAGCCAAAGTCATGAGTTGGATGCCAGTGTCACTTCACTGAGAATCACATCCATCAGATGTGTTTCAGAGGCTCTGACTGAAGACATTCTCAGCTCAGAGGTTGATTCTCCCCTAGAAAAGGCATTCAGTCATTTTCATAAATCCAGGTCACAATTTAAGAGTCCTCTCCCCTGTAGCCATTTATTGTGGTTGGTTTTCAGCCCAGATTTGTCCACAGGCAGTAATTTTAGCATATAAAAATATTTCCTCTTCCCCACAAAAAAAAAGGAGCAAAAAAACCTCAGAGGATACCACTTTGGAAATCAAGTGAGCAAGGCTTAAATGTTATGGCAGAAATGTTTCTAGTTTATCCCATGTGCTTTATAATTACAAATGCTCAGCATTCCCCTGCTAGATCACTTACTGCTTTACTGAGAACTGCTGATGCCCATGGTAAAGTAGATAATATTAGAGTTAATTATCATTAGGAGAGTTTTTCATGAGGAAGGAAGACAAGGGTAGAGGGGGAAGGATTGGTGTACCAGTTCTTTCCATGCTTTATTTTCAAGTGTTTGCTTGGTCCCAGTCTCCTTCCTTGTGTGGCCTCTTCAATTTAAAAGGATGGAGTAACAGTGCAAGTCATTCTGAGTTACACAAGTTTGTTTCCAAGCTTTCATTTAGGAGCAGAGTGGGTTACTGGACCATCAGTCATGTGGGGAATACTGAGGATGTATCTCCAGGTTGCCAGTTTGGCTCTTGCCAGCCTTGGTGGTGTCAGCTAAGTGCTACCATCTGGAGTCAGTTTTCCAACCAACTGCCCCAGTGCAAATGGGGTGTGCAGATTGTGTGCTCTGAGTGTGCAGCCACTGAACTGTGAGACCATCTGAAGACCCTCCCAAAGTGCAGGGAGGGGGCAGAGGATCTGCTCTCAGCCACATTCCCTGCTGATGGTGCTAAGTCAGTGCAGCTGTTTACAGTGGAGGTGGGGAGTTTGTTCTGTGTGAGCTCCAGGCTTGGCTGAAGCTGGAGAGGTAAAGGCAGGCAGTGCTGGAGAGGTGCTTCTGCAGGTGGAGAGAGACAAAGTCTGGTGGTGCACAGGTACTGCACAAATTGGCTGGTCCTCCCAGTCTGCAGACTTGTGCCAGACCTCCCATCTAAGCCTCTCCTCAGCTTGTCCCCAGCTCTTGGCTTTGTCTCCCACACACTCTCAGAGGTACCAATGCCAAATCCCTGAGATTCTCACCTCAGAATGATGCTGAGAGTATGCAGTGCCCAGCACCAGCCTCTGCCCTGTCTGTGATGCCAAGGAGCCCAGGGCTACTTGAAGTTGTAGAAGGACTTCTTGGCTTCTGGCCAGCTGAAGGAGAAGGAGCTGCCCTTTCCTCCTTCCCTACTCAGCAGTGCTGAGCACCCAGCCTGGAGAGTGGGGAGAAGGCAGCTCATGGCCCATGTCTCTGACATAAACACCAGAGTTCCAGGGAGCCCCAGGTGTCTTTCTGACACCTCACAGCCAAGCTGTGAATGAGGAATGGACCAGGAAGCTCAGTAAATTTGGGTTCACATCCAGAACACAGAGGAGGAGGAGGAGTCCCTGAGTTGTCAGTGATTCAACAGTGTTGCTGACATTGCATGAATGAGTGTCTGTGCTCATGACAGGGGTCAGCAGGCAGATCCAGCAGCTTTTCCAAACCGTGTGTTAGCACAGCTTTCCCTTGAATGTGCTATTCCTAGCGCTCTCATTGCAGGCACACCCTAGGCATCAGAAACTGTTTTGATCCAAACCAGAACTTTTTTGATTATTACAGGCTAAACTAAACCTTGGGGCAATGTTGGCTTGAGCTGGCTGTCAAGCACTGAGGAGCGTCCCAGCAGGAATCTTCCTCTGTGCTGGGGTTTGGGATTTGGGGGTCTCTCCACTCCCCAGCTGCAATCCTGGCATTGCTTACAAGCCCTCATAAAGGGCAGCCTGGGCTCCCCCCACATTTGTGCACGTTTCTTCCTGCAGATGGAAAGTCCATTTCCACAGATGTGATTGTGCTGGGCCGGACAAATCTCCTCATTCCTTCCAGCCAGCCCCATCACTCTGGGGTGTACGTCTGCCGAGCCAACAAACCCCAAACCCGGCAGTTCGTTACCGCCGCAGCTGAGCTCCGCATCCTCGGTGAGTAGAGCAGGCAAATTCTCAGGCATAAATGGTGACCAGTTTGCTCTGGGTTGCATGGATTAACCTCCAGGAGATCCCCAAGGCTTTGTGGTCTTTGTGGCCCGTGCTGGGTGAGGTGGGAGCCGGGTTAGAGCCAGGAGGCCCAAGCTGGGATCGTTCTCAGTGGGAGTATCACCTCTTTAATTTGGGGTTTAGTTCCTGGTATTTACTGAACCGTTTTATGCCTTATTCTTGTTCTCCAGGGTTCCCCCTTGGAAATCTCTATCAGCAATTAACTTTCAGTATCCTGGAAGCCAGCAGGGAGAACAGCCTAGGATCAGGGAATGCAGCACATGATTGATACAGAATTTATTTTTCCTTTTGGACAGAGTCTAAATTAAGCCTCTAGAGTCTGCCTGGCAAATCCCATCTTGTAAGCAAAGCTGCTACTGAATAAAGCATAGCACCGAGTGGGGAGGAGAAGGGATTTGCTTTGCTATTTTTTCCTCCTCCTTCCTGCATTAATTTTTCCTCTCTCCTCCCAGCTACCCCCAGCATCTCCCAGGCTCCTGAAACCATCTCCCGCACCCGAGCCAGCACGGCCAGGTTTGTGTGCAAGGCAGAGGGAGAGCCAGCCCCCACCATCCACTGGCTGAAGAACGGGAAGCCCATCCTCTCCAACGGGCGCGTGAAGGTGCAGAGCAGCGGCAGCCTCGTCATCAACCAGATCGGCCTGGAGGATGCTGGCTACTACCAGTGTGTGGCTGAGAACAGCCTGGGCATGGCCTGTGCCACCGCCAAGCTCTCGGTGATCGTGCGGGAGGGTTTGCCCAGCGCTCCCAAGAAGGTCTCGGCCGTGTCCCTCTCCAGCACCACCGTCCTCGTGTCCTGGGAGCGGCCGGAGCACAACAGCGAGCAGATCATCGGCTTCTCCTTGCACTACCAGCGGGCTGTGGGTAGGTGTCACCTCCCTGGGCAGCACAGCTGTGTTAAAGGTACAAGGCACAGGTTGACCTTCTTCCCCAGCTAGTGACAAGTTGTGAGGCAATTCCCTTTTCATTTCAGGTAAAGGAATCTTTTCCTGGGGTCGGTATCAGACAGTGACAGTGCCTGTGGATTAGCCAACATATTCTAACTTCTTGATTGGCAATAGTGTGTCCACATAGCTTGGTTGTCTGGACTCTATGGGACCAGGCACTGCTGATTTTATGCATACTGATTTTGTATGCAAAGAGTGCGATTGCTAACAGTGATATCAACCAGCTGCATTGTGTACAGGGGGAATCACTAAATTATCCACACCCAGAATCTGAAGTGAGGCACTGGCTCTCTTGGGGTATGTCTTCCCAAACAGCCAGCAAGCCAATGCTCCTGCTGAACTGTTGCCAGAGCTCTGAAAATGAAACTGGTAACTGCAGCTGCTTCAGCATGAATTAAGGAGTTTGAGTCAAAATGGAGACATCAGCATTGAGGCATTGGAGTTTCTGCCCAAAGAACTCATATAAGAGATGAGGCTGTGCAGGTGCTGGGGAAACTGGAGAAGATGTAGTGATTTTTAAAGTGGATTTAGTCTGCAGACCTTGTGAATTAAGTGATTTTTTCAGGAGTGTCTTGGCAGTTCACTGACCTGCTGATCAGTGTTTCCTTGGCTCTAGGAACAGATAATGTGGAATACCAGTTTGCTGTCAATAACGACACAACTGAGCTGCAAGTCAAGGATCTGGAACCAAACACCAACTATGTCTTCTATGTGGTTGCATATTCCCAGCTCGGAGCCAGCCGGACGTCCTCTTCCATCGTTGTCCAGACCCTGGAGGATGGTGTGTTCATTAGATGGGTACTGGTGCCTAGGAAATGTTCTTGACCTGGTTGATAGTGAGCACTGAATGTGCTACAGAGTGGTAGCAGCTCCTAGAAACCTAAACCTGCACCCTGTTCTCATCTTCTCATCATCAGCTTGGGTGATGAAGGATATGAAAATACCCTGGTTGATGGTGGGGCCCATGAGAATCCTTTGGGAATTGCAGGCAGCTCATAAGGGCTTTTACCTAACCCATGTGATATTGCTCTAAGCTTCATTCTGGGCCAGACTGGATTTCAACTCAGAAGAAACATCTATTGCAATATGTAGGGGTGGGAGGAGCCTTGAGGTCAGACCCCTTAAGAGCCAGTAGTTTGTGTTGATCTTACCATTTATCACATAGCATTTTGTGAGCAGTAAAGGCAGAGTGCCAGAAGCACAGCTGCCCAACGGGAAGCCATGCACAGCTTTCAACAGGCTGCAGGACAAGAGGCAAGTAGAGATGGTTTTGGCAGACCTCATGTGCATTATGTGCTTTTAATGCTCCTGACATGGTGACCTGCGTGGTCCCATGTGTATGTCTGAAGCCTGGAAGGCTGAGTTGAAAGCATGAAAGCTGCCTGCAGCCCAGAGCTGTGCTTCTCAAGGGAGTGAGGATTCCCAGGCTGCAGATTGGATCTGTGAGCCATTTGCTTTTGTGTCTCCTTCGTGCTCCACGTACAGCTCAAGCTGAGAGCTGCTGTGTGCCACCCTGCCCAGTTTGCTCTGGGTACAGGTCCCTGGGAGCAGTGTGGCTGTGGCCAGCAGCTCTGGTCAGCCTGGAAGTGGAGCAGTCAAGCATCTTCCCTCCCCAGACACCCCTGAAGGGGCTGTGTTGTGTTGGTTCCTGCAGGACAGACACCAAGTCACCAGTGGCTGTGGTAGAGCCAAGTCAGTGGCCTCCAGCCAGCTCAGAGAGCTGGCAGATGTGTTGAGGTGTTGCTGTGGTCTTTGCTGACTTCTCTTGGTTGTTTACCCAGTTCCCAGTGCAGCCCCTCAGCTGTCCCTGTCGAGCATGACTCCTGGTGACATCCGTGTGACGTGGCTGCCTCCTCCTCCCGAGCTGAGTAATGGCAAGATAACCAAGTACAAGATCGACTACTGCACCCTCAAGGAAGGTGAGGAAAACACCATTCAGGGGTTTGTTGTCTGCTCTAGTGGTGTTAACAGCCTGTAATGTGAAGGGGAGATGGTGCAAAGCTGAAAATAGGGCCCATTTTACCCAAGGGAGGAGAACCCTTTCATAGTCTGGCTCTGTCTGGTAGTTATGGCAGTGGCAATTCATACCACCTCGAGGTGCCTTTTTGTGTGATTGTGGAGGAGCCATGTCCCCAGAATGGTCTGACCCATGTTTGAGCTGTCCCAGAAATGTCTGCATGAGCAGCCCTTCACTGCCATCTGCACTGTGTTTTGGGGAAAGAGCTTTATGCTGCATGGGGAAGAGGAGTAAGTGCTTTCAATTTCCTTAAAATGGAGTCTGATCAAAGTGATCTTTGTGAAAAAAAAACCCCTAAATACCCTGTCCATGTTGTGTTGCTCTATTACCGAGTTTTATCTGATTTTATTTCCATTGTTAGGCACACTAAGCAGGGTTCAGCAGGGATGGTAACATTTACATCTGCTGGATGTGGCTGTTCCAATTCCACGTGTGCTTGCTTTGCAAATCCTTCTGGGTATTTGCTCTTAAAACTGTCAAAGCTCTGCAGCTTCTCACTTCCCAGGGTCATGATTCTTCCTGAGAGAAGGATGGCGAGTGTGATGAGGTGCTGGACATGTTCCCATGTATTTGAACTGGCTTAGTAGTCTGTGCTGTGACTCCTGGCTCTGGTTCTTTTGCCTTGAGCCTGCACATGGCTCAGTGGCATCGTAAAACCTTGGAAACACTTGCAATCCAGGGATCACACTCAGCAGTACGCTGTTACATAGCAGGGACAGTGCTCCTGCCTGAGTTAACACCAAGGGAAGTTGAAATCAAGACCTCTGTGTACTCTAAACAGGCCACATGAATCTTAGCTGATACAGTGAAAATCCCAGGCTAGTCTCAGTTTAAATTTCCTGTTACCTCCCTTATGAACTTGGGTGGGCTGAAGAGGGAGCAGTAAAACCTCTGTCTGGCTGGATGAGGGTGTGAATTTTGCGGAAAGCAGAGCTGCTGGACAGTTCTGGTTCACATGAAGGTGAGGGTTTAAATAGAGCAGTGAGAAGCATTGGAACATGCCATCAGCTCCCATTAGCTGTGCTCATGTTCCACCATCACATCATCAGAGCAAGGTTTCTGACAGCTCCCTCTGGGCAGGCTCTGGTGCTAAAGGCAACCTGCAATTTGGAATGTAATGAAGGGAGTTGTCAGTCAGAATATCTGCCCAACCTTACAGTTTTTTTTTTCTGATGGCATAAGACTGCTCTGGGCAAAGCCAAGCCAGCCCAGGGCATGCAGACCACGAGGAGGTAACGAGGCTTGTGGCTGCTCAGCTGTACTTCCCTTGGGCTGGGAAATCCCTGTTTTCAGTGGTGTCCCCTTGGTTCCAGCAGATCAGGTCACCTCCATCGAAGTGGGTGGAAATGAGACCCAGATCACCCTGTACTCACTCCATCCCAACAAAGTGTACAAAGTTCGGATCGCAGCCAGCACCAGTGTGGGATATGGGGCCCCTTCCGAGTGGACCCAGCATCGGACTCCTGACAGAGACAACCAGACACATGGTAGGAGGCTGGGGAATGCCTGGGATTTGGGACAGGGTGGGAAACTTAAGGCATTTTCAGAGATACTTGCTTTCCTTTGAGAATTACAGCCATTGGTTTTGGTCAGACCAAAGTGCTCACCTTTACCTTGCCGCTCAGCAGCCCCTGTACATCTCACTGCTTGCCTGGCAGTGGGGCTTTGCACCCTCTATGTGCAGCTGAGAAAGTTCTTTAAAAAGAAGAAAACAAACAGAACTCCAGATCCCAATGTTAATGACATTTGGGAGTGACAATTCTGCCAAACAGAGCTGAGCCCATACCAGACTCCAGCAGTGGTTAAAGATGGTGATAGCTCAGAACACACTGAGAAACCCCCACAGTGGCTTTGTGACATTGTTGTTTCCTGTATCATCCAGCTGGGAAAGTCAGTGGTAGAGTGTGGCTGACTCTCCACTCTCAGGGAGTGGAGACTTCCCACTCAGGACAGCCTTTTCCTCACACTCTTCCCTCACTACTGAGGACCAGGAGGATTCAGTAGACCAGGGAAATGGAGACATGTGGCTCAATCTTTTTCTCTTGTCTTCTTCTTCCAGTTCCATTTGCCCCGACAGAATTAAAGGTCCGAGCGAAGATGGAGTCTCTTCTGATAACGTGGCAGCCCCCAGCAAACCATGCCCAGATATCTGGCTACAAGCTCTACTACAGAGAGGTGGGCCAAGAGGAGTCCAGTGATGAGAGCCCTTTGGATGGTGCTGAAGATGAGAGCTGGGATGTAGGACCCATAAAACTAAAGAAGAAAGTGAAGCAGTATGAGCTGACTCGACTAGGTTAGCTGGCTGCATCTTTCTAGCACTTGATGTGGAAACCCAGGGCCTGTCTCTTGCACTTTGTAGCATCCCAGGATGCTCCCAAGAGAGGTTTGCATGACTGGAGATACATAGGCTCAGGACCATCTGAGGTGTTTTAAGATGATCCAAAATCCTTTCTGGAGTGGGGCTCTTTAGGCTTGTATTGAGCAGAGTTTAAAGCACAGAAATTTCTAATGCCAATTTAGCAGGGATTTTAACCAAGTTACCAATATACTTAGTATATGCTAATAAGTGGTTCTTAATTAGTGTTTTTATTGTGTCACTATAAAGAGTGCCAAGATTGAAATCTCCAGTCAGGACAATTATCTCTCCTTCCCTGTCTGTTTCTAAGGAGCTCTATAATTGCATGCTGTTTGAAATCTCTCTGTATTAAAATGCAGAGATGGGATAATTCACAGCATACTAATTTTAGCCCAGTATTCTGTCCCACTAAAAGAAAAGGGATGGAAGAGTGTCCATGACTGGAGAAGATCTGAGCAGCAGTGAGTCCTGCCTGCCTGGCTCACTGTCCTTAGCATTTTCCACAAGGGGCTGTATTCCTAACATCTGATTGTATTAATTAATTGATTTGCCCATTGATACAGGATGGAGAGAGAAGAGAGTCATGGCAGATGCATCCTTGAAAGAGGCTTTCTGCTTCCCAGAGTTCTTCCATCCCCCACTTTATGCTTCACTCTGTTACTGCCCAGTGAGTGGAGACTGTAGGGCATGTGTCTGTCGTGCTGGTTCATCTTACACTTGTAGCATATCTATTATGCATAGTGTAAAGGTGAGGCTGCAGCACCTGGAAGGACTGTTTGTGCCATCTGTAAGTGGGGTTCTCCCAGCTCTGTCACAGCCATCTTGCCATTGAGAGTGTTAACAGTGATGAGTTTCTCTGAAGAATTTAGGTCTGTAATTATTGTGCAGAGGAAGCCACATGTGAACATCATCGTGCTGCTCCAACCACTGGCAAGTCAGTCGGTGCAGGGGCTGGGAGTGGGCTGAATTGGTTCCAAATGCTCTGGCACAATGATGCTGAGAAGGTTGCTTGTTCTTCTGTAATTACTTCCTTGAATTTGGGCATCCGTCAAGCCCTGATGGTTTCCGTATGATTTGGCGGCTGTGTATCGGCTATCGCTGTGTCAGGAGCGCAGGCTTGGGTTCCTCCCAGCCCAGGACGTTCCCTCTGCTCCCCTTGGGCTGTTGAATGTTGTGCTCCTGCACACAGAGTAAAGGCAGGGTCAGGAATCTGGCTGTGCTGAGGAAGGGAGGGGCTGTGCACATGAAACAAGGAGGAGTGATTGGGATTTAGAAGGGTTTCGTTTTATGGTGCAGAACTGCCCTGTACCACTAAGGGCTGCAGCTTGTAGGCAGAGCAGTCTCAGGAAGGGCTGGCAGCCCTAATGTGATCTGGGCTGATGGGGAATTAGCTGGGAGGATTTCCCAGATCAGGGATGTCTGCCTGGAAAGCACAGCACTGGAACCCTCTGCTTAGATCCCTCTATAAAAGCAAATACCCAACACTGTCTCTTGGGATTTTCTTCCAGAGCCATTGAGTCCAACTGCCTGGGTACCTCAGTGTTGATCAAAAATGAAAACAAATTCTGTCCAAATGTCTTTTAGACACTGACAGGCTTGGGGCACCGACCATCTCTCTAGGAAGCCTGTTCTGGTGTTTGAGGTGGTGTTAGGAAATCCCAGCTTGGGCACTGGGCATCCCAGGCTGAGCTCAGATGTGGATACCAGGCTGAGCTCAGATGTGGATACCAGGCTGAGCTCAGATGTGGTGTGTTCCATGTCAGTGCAGACAAGGTCCAGAGTGGTCACTACATGTCCCTTGGCTCCACAGCTCCATAGTGTCACTGAAGCCAGCTCTCTGTCCCTTGCCTTGGTTTGAGGTGTGGCTTGAAATAGAAGACTTGTCCCATCTTGTGCTGATCCCTGGAGCAAACCATGTCTCTTTAGAATGGTATCACTAATGGTACCATGTGTCTTGTCTGAGAGGTGCATGCTGGAGTCCTGTGAGAGAGGTGGGCAGCTGGTCAAGGGCACACAGGAAATCCAGCAATTTCATCAGTCCACAAAATCAGAAGGAAGCTTTCCTGAATCACCAGGAGGGGTTTTCCCTGAGAAATTCTTAGTGACTTCCATCGATGTTCTAGCACTTACTCCCTGTATTGAGGTGCAGCTACCAGGGCCATAATTTATGTGAAAAATAAATGGCAGGGATCTGATCCTGTCTTCCACATTCCCATGAAGGAAGATTGCATTCCTTTGGAAGCAGCTCTCTGGAAATAAGGGTGTTTTCCCACTTAAAGGAAAGTATGGCTTCTGGCACCTGGCCAATATGAACACCTTGAAACGCTGAGTGAAGCAACATATTTAGCATATTGGATATATTATGCAGCCATCCAGATTAGTGATTTAAAATGATCTGGACTAGATTATTCTGCTTATATTTAATGTATGATGGAATGCAGTGAAATACATCTGTTTTCATGCTGCCTACCAGCTTCTTGACAGCTTGATAGAGTTTTATGTCTGCCTGTTCTAAGAGCTTGAACATCTGGGCCTGTGTATAAAAATTGAAGCCAATCCTCTGACTGAGAAATCCAAAATACCCCTATTTTCAGGATGTAAGGTGCTTGATCTTGCAGTCGAGCTCCCCTGGCGTCACGTGTAAGCAGCTGCTGTATTGATCCTGCCCAGGGATGGAGACAGAGGACTTGTATTTCCTTCACTCCATTGTCCAACAGGAGCTGCCCACAGCTGCCTCACATCTGTGAGCTTTTCCTCATCGTTTTGGATTGCACCATCCATGATGTTCTCGTGTCCCACTGAAGCTCAGCCCAAGGCTCAGCCAGAAGGGGAGTGTGGTGCTGGCAAGAGATGGGCTGGGTGTTCTTTGTTCCACTGAGCCTGTGGTCCCAGCCCTTTGGAGGTTGAGTGCTCTTTGGCCTTATCCCCCTTGTGTGGGTTTGAAACATTTTTCTGTGGCTGGAGAGTGTGGAAATGCAGATCAGGCTGTCTTGGAGGCAGACAAAACTCTGTTTGCTTTTGGGATTCTTTGGGGGAGAAAAATGTGGCTGAACTGTTTTTATATTCTGAGCGTGAGCGTGTGTTGTGGAGCAGAGAAAGCCTTTGGTAATTGGTACCATCAGCCTTTGGGAGTGTAATCAGGGCAGTAATAATAAAATTGGCATCAATAAGAAAGGTTTCATTCTGCTTACATTGTCTGGCAAAGAGAGCAGTGATCTGTGAGGTCAGGGAATGAAGAGGCATGTCCCAAATTAACAAACTTCATCAATGTGCTGCAGCCAAGGCAACAAAAGGCAGTGTGGACTGCTCTGGCTGAGCTCCTGAAGGGGCTGGCTGCTGCAGGGAATGTCTTCTTTGAGAACTTTTTATCTCCCAAGTTGTTTCTTTGATTAAACATCTCCATTAAAAATGAAGAAGCTGATGAAAGGCTGGAAGAAAGAGAGAAGTGTTTTTTGGACCAGGGCAGCACTGCTTGGAGACAGAAATCCCTGTCCCTGCAGCTCAGTTTGAGATTCCCCACAGTGCAAGGCTCTCTGATGGGAAGAGCATGCAATGAGGACCCTCAGGTTTTTGGTGTGGGTTTTCTGTGCACTGTTGCTTTTCTAATTGCAAATTGGGAAGCTCTACTCTGAAGGCAAAACAGACAACATACAACAAAGGCTGCCAGTGACTTAACAGGGCGTTTGAGGACTTGCTGGAAGGAACACCCTCACAGCAGTGAATAAATCAGAAAGGACTTCAGAAACAGGAGGTGCATTTTGGGGTAGGAGAGAATGTCCTCACTCCTCAGGAATAAACAGTGCAGTGTAGTCACTTCCATGGTAGAGAGAGGAGTCAGCATGTGTAAGTTTCTTTAGCAGTTTGTAAGAGAAAGATCTAGAGATCCTGAGTAGATTGCTAGAGGCCAGGACACTGGTCAACCCTTGAGGGCTGGGGCAAGTCCATTTCCTGCTGATAATTTCTGTCAAAAGTGAGGGGAGGACCAAAGAGCAGCTGTGCTGATAACATACACCAACTGTGAGACAGTGTTTGTGTGTGGGAAGCCTGTAAGTGGAAGGAGGACTCCCTGCTGTAATTTAGATATCAGGTGATATTTACTTAGGTATAAGGTAACAAAAATGTATTTATTATGTCCAAACTACTTTCTTGGATGGTGAGAAAAGCTGGCAAGATCAAAGAAAATGTGTCTGACTAGGGAGGGTTGGTGACAAAAATAACCCAAGGCAAACCCTGATTGATTTTTCCAGCTCCTGGGAAACTGTATGAGGTGAAGCTGGTGGCATTCAATAAGCACGAAGATGGGTACGCAGCGGTCTGGAAGGGCAAAACAGAAAAGGCACCTGTGACAGCAGTAGGTGAGAAATGCCCTTCAGTTGTTGTGTCTCTTCTGCTTGGCAGAGGAGGGGTGGAGGGATTACAGAGGATGAACTTCAAAAAGGATTATACCAAAATAGGGAAGGTCATAACAAAAGGGAACCTCCTTTGACAGTCATTGCAAAACACATTCAAGGAATTGGGAAGGAATGAAAGGAGCAAAATGTCCCCCTTCTCATTAGGGTTGTTCTTCCACGGGGTGTGAGTGGCATTATTGTACACCTCCACATCTCTCTTTGTGCTGCACCATAGATCCCCCTGTGCAGAAGGGGCCTCCACTGCCTCCAGTCCAAGTCTATGCGGAGTCCAACAGCTCAACTTCCATCTGGCTCCGCTGGAAGAAACCTGACTTCACAACAGTCAAAATTGTCAACTACACCGTGCGCTTCAGCCCCTGGGGCCTGAAAAACGCCTCTCTTGTGACATACTACACCAGGTAAAGAGGGTTCATCTGCCACGGGTTGCTCATGTCAGGAATGAACACGGGGCAGGAGGAAGTTGCATGGAATTTACAGAACTTAGCAAAATCCTAGGTGTTCCATATGCTGGGAATATCTGCCATGGTCACAGATAATGTTCAGGACTGCTGAGATGTGGCAGTGGGACTTGAATACCAAGGAATCATTTACGGGTCTTTGCATCTTTTTTGCTGTGGTTGGACCTTACACACTCATTAACAACATGGCCGGGTGCAATTATGCATTCGTGATTTGTGAGATGGTCCTCACAAGTTTGGTCTATAAACTGCTAGAGTTTAAGCAGTTTTAATAATTTGGGGATGTATCTTACATCTGAATACTTGTGCCCATTTTTAGCCTCTAACCAGGCTGTTTTCCACTTTACCCTGCAAGTACATCAGAAATGGTCCTGGAGACTGGGAACTGTTTTGCTCTGTCCCTGGGAGCTGAGTGTTCTTGCATTCAAATGGAAGAGATGGAAAATCAAATACTGTCAGAGTTAGGATAATCTCTTAGAGTGTTCCTGGTGGGGTGTCAAGGTGACATGGGAGAACCCTCAGGTGTTCACAGCCTTGTGCTGTGTCCTCTCTCTCCAGCTCAGATGAAGACATTCTCATCAGTGGGCTGAAGCCCTACACCAGGTATGAGTTTGCTGTGCAGTCCAACGGCGTTGGCATCGATGGGCCCTTCGGCAGCGTGGTGGAGCGCTTCACCCTGCCCGACCGTGAGTGTTCATGGCAACCAAATCCTCATTTCTCCTGGCTTTCCTTGAGTCTCTGTCAGATCCCCCCCAGTGTGCCCCTGAGAGATGTGATCTCAGACCCCTCGAAGCTCTGACAACCTTGAGTCCATGCTGGGAAGCTCTGTGGGGATGAATGCTTTGCTCCTCTTCCTGCTGCTCAGGCTGGCTCTTTATTTGTCTCTGCCAGGGCCCTCCACTCCTCCGTCTGACCTGCGGCTGCACCCTCTCAACCCCTACGCTGTCCAGGTGCACTGGTGCCCACCTGTGGAGCCCAATGGCATCATTGTGGAGTATCTCATCCTGTACAATGCCAACAACACACAGCCAGATGACATGTGGACCTTGCTGACACGAGAAGGTGAGCCCCCTCCAGGTACTGTAATACCCCTCAGTCCTCCTGCCTCCTTTCCTTTCTCTGGAGTCCTGGTTGCTCAGTCCTGCTGCCCTGATTTCTGCCTCGCTTTGCATACAGACAAATATTCAAGAGCTCATCCTGGCAGTTTTCTTGAAGCATATGCTGTACCTGGTCATAGCAGAGACTCCAGGGACATGACTGCTGAGAGACATGAAATCATACGTGTCTGGGAATGAGTAGCCATTATCATCCAGGAAATAACCTACAGATGCAGCCTGGCAGCCAGCAATTCCTAGAAAAACGGGTGCCAGCAGCATCACAAGTAGTGTTTTTGGATCTGTAAGCAGGAAATTCATTATTACTGAAGAGCTGTATGAAATGCACAAAAATGTCACAAAATCCCTCACTTCTGAGGGTCCAGCAATTTCACAGCTGCTTTTCTGTAACCTCTGAATAGTCTTGAAGCAGAACATTTTAAATCTCTTTTGATTTGCTTTTGGTCAGGAAACATCTTCAGCACTGAAGTGCATGGCCTGGAAAGTGATACCAGATACTTCTTCAAGATGGGAGCAAAGACAGTGGTGGGATCTGGTCCCTATTCCAACGTGAAGGATGTGCACACCCTCCGGGAGAAGCTGTCTGGTATGAATTCCTCCTTACCTCAGGGCAGGAAGGGAATTGCATGGCTCGAGACTGATTTGTCAGCAGTGACATTTCTGTTTATCAAGCAGTTGCCTGGTGTTGCTGTAGAGGATGTGAGATAGGATTCTCTGCAGGGCAGTGCAGGGCATCACAGCAGATCCTCAGATGTGCAGCTCCAGAACCCATCCCACAGCCAAACTTCATCTCTTCCCCATCCTGGAAGGACAACCTGCATCTTGCTGTGGCGTGACATTAATGAATATGCATAGGTGCCAGTTTGCTTCAGGTTGATCTAAATTGTCACTGCCAAGGAATTTTATTGTTTTATGTGTATAGAATCAGAACTACAGAACAGTTGGGTTAGAAGGACCTTTTAAACCTGTTTGGTTTAGTTCAGCAGGTGCTTCTCTGAACATGAGCCACTTTGTACCCTCTTCCTGCTAGCAGTTGAAATGATGTGGCTGTCATTCCTTCCCCTCCTAGATGTCCTGGATATCCACTCTGTGACAGGGATCATCGTGGGGGTGTGCCTGGGGCTGCTCTGCATTCTCTTCTGCATGTGCGCCAGCTTCCGCAACAGCAAGCACAGGTGGGTGCACCTCAGGTGAAGGAGGCTGCTTGGAAGGAGACAAAACCAGTGTGAGCTGCATCCCCTGTTCAGCTGGGCTGCTTGGGATGTGTGTAGGGGACAGTTAATGCACAGCTTGGATCTGAGGATGGATAAAGAGTATATTTAGTATCATCTTTTCACTGATTTATTTTTTTTCAGTAGTTTCTCTTCAATTTACATTCTTAGACTAGTAGGGGTTTTTTTCAGAGAAAGAAAAATCCTCAAGAAAATGGAAGAACCAGTTTAGTACCTGTGTCTGTTAATGTGGGTAGTATTTTGCTTCTGAGGTTGGACAGCTCTAAGGATGTTTGGAAATGGTTTGTTAACTTCCATCTGGGAAAATGATGAAAGACTTCACAGTGAGTGACAGGCTGGTTTAAGGAGGATTGGACACAGCCCAAAGCCCTCTGCTATCCCAGGGGTCTGGATCCAGCCACAAGCATTTGGAAAGACCATGAGCAGAAAACAGCTCAGTTGTTCAGAAGCTTTGGCTCTTTGAGCTCACAGCAGATCTCAGGGCCAGGAACAAACAGCTGCTGAAGTCTCATCCTAATGTGGCCACTAAACTTTCCTGTCCTGTTGCATCTCTAACCTGTAAAGCAGAGGTGACAGGAATGACACAGCTCCCCATGGACCAGGGTAGGTGAGCACCTGCTTGTGCTGGGACTCATAGTGTCTCCTGCCCTTGGGGTGTGCTTGGGGACAGCTTTGCATCCCACAGTGGGATTAGTCTGAGATTTGGCATTAATCAAGGTGGTGCAGAGATATATCTGCAGTGAAAGGTGTTACAGTGGGATGTGAAGATAAAGGATATCCCCAGGAGTGGCAGGGCATGGCTTGGCCCTCGTCACTTGCACATGGACCAGCTGAGATGTCAGCTCTTGCTTGTTTCCCCTCAGGGAGGCCCTGCCAGGCCTGGATTCCCAGGCTGCTGGCAACCACACATACTACCACCGGAGCAGGCAAGGGTTGGCCTCTCCCAGTGCCACCTTGGACTCACATGAGCTCGAGTCCCTCATGTCCCCACTCCCTGAGGATGCGCCCGTGCCCCTGGGGGACATCACTGAGCTGGCAGAAGTGCACAGCCTCATCCACACGAGCCTCCCTGAGGACATCTTCCATGGGAAGAGGAAGGTAAGGACCCATGCACATGGTGACTGGGCTCTCACCTTTGGCAAGAGCCTTTGTTTGGTGTGTGGCTGCTGGGAAGCCCAGGTGGGATCCTGTCCTGACTCTGCAGTGCCAGAAGTCTTGGCTGCAGGCTGGTGTTGGACAGTCACACATTTCCCCTCTCTGTAAAACCTGACTAGCTCAGCCTTGGCTATTGGCTATTATTTGGGATCCCTGTGCACCTACCACCCCTTTTCATCTCCCGGGAAATTGACCCCTCAATCTGAGAAGCTGCTGCCAAACTTGGTGCTGCAGAAAGCTGTGGTATTCGTGTTGCTGTGGCATGTGGATGGTGGGAGGAACTGTGATGTCTAGAGCAGACACGTGGCCTTCCAGGATTCTCTTTTGCTTGGACTAAAAGAAGCTGTCTCCATAAATAGTGTGTTCACTGGAACACTCTTGAAGATAAACAAGAGGTGAAATTGTGGGGTTTTTGTGAACCTTATTTTTTGAAGTAGTCTTTTCCTGCCCTGCTTGGTTTGCCTGACACTGCATTGTCTTTCTTTTCCTGCCCATTTCCTCTTCCAAGCTTGCCTGAAACATTTCATTCCATTAGGGAACCTTTAATTGGCCTAATTTAGTTAATCTGTTTATGTCTCTCTTTGTAGCCCTGGGAGAGCATGTAAAGTAATTAGGAGGTTCAGTAAAACAAATGCATTGTGAGCACTTGGGATTTCACGTTTGCATCAACGATGCACTCGTGTGTCACTGGAGGGAAGGTGAGTTCAGGTGCCTGGCTGACCACGAGCCCTGTCTGTGTGCTAGGGGCAGTGCAGGTGGGATCTTTGGGAAGCACAAAGTCTCTGCTGGCCTCACTGCCCCACGGGCTGAAGCTGTGCCCGTGGCCATCCCTGCGTGCTGTGGCAGATCAGTGCTCAGCTGGAGCAGAGGCTGTTTGTTTGCAGCCAAGCCACATCCATGGATTTTGGTGGAATGTGGCTGCCTGTGTGGACCCAAGCCAAAGAGTGTGAGGAATTTCCTACAACTCTTTCAGTTAAATAAGGAACAAATGTTTTCAGTGATGGGGACTTACCCCTGAGAACAGGTCAGGCTGGGGGAAGTTCCTTCTTTGTGAGGCCTTTCTGGGGGTAGCTATATCTAGATCTCTGTTCCAGAGCAGCAATCCTGCCTGCAAGGGCTTACACCAAGATCTGAATAGGTGCAGAGTGGGGCTGGAGAGGGCAGTGCCAAGGCCTGGCTACATGAGGCTCAGCCTGAGAATTTGGGGCCCTCACAGTGGGCAGTGCCCAGCAGCAGTTACAGTCACAGACCAGAGCTTTGGGGGAGATGGACTGTTCTGGCTGTAGAGTTTCCATAATTAGATGGGGAATGGCCACTGAGAGATAAATTCACTGAGGGGTTTGGTTGTTTTTTTTAATGGATGTGGCTAGGGAAGCAAGGGTCACTGGGAATCAGCCACCCGGAGAGCAGCGTTGTCACCCGTGCCGACCAGGAGGGTGACCCGGCAGGTGAAGGAGATCGAGTGGTGGCCGGGAGCAACAGGCTGTTGTTGCTGGGAGCGGGCACTGGAGGGAGATGTGCTCCCACGCAGGAGACCCTGCTCCCTGCACTGCCCCATTCCTGCTGGAAGTGCCACCGCTGCTTCCTTTCTGTACTCCAACATGTATAATCGAGTGTGAAAAGAATATGGCCAAGAAACACCATCATGCTGCAGTGGCCAAGAGGCCCCATGGATGGTGATGCGATGTTACCTAGCTGGGCAGTCAGGGAGTTGGCCAGGTCTCAGGTACATGGCTAGAGTGGTGCACACATGCCTGGTGCCCACAGTGGATATAGACCAAGTCAGGAGCAGTTGTGAGTGTGTGCATCTCGCTGCTTGTACACAAAATGCCTCTAGTCGAGGCTGTGGAGTGGATGTGGGTGTCCTGTGTGCTGCAAATAGCTTCCCCCAGCATCCATTAAAGCTGGAAAGCCCCAGGGACCCTGCCTGGAACAGAGTGCTTGTGGGAGCTTTGCACCCTGCAGTGACCAGCTGCCTTTGTTGCCTTCTCTTTTCTTCTCTCATGCTGTGTGAAGTTGGGGCTGTGAAAATCGATGGCAGGGAATGCAAGAGAGCCACAGGAAAGAGAAAATCATTGTGGAAGGAAATTCCTGTCCAGGCTGGCAAGGGGAAGCTCCCCAGGGTGTTCTAGGTTGGATACTATGACTTGCAGTTCTATTCACTGAAGAGAGGGAGTGAGAAATGCCTCAAGAATCCCTTTTGTTTAGCAGCATATCATGTCACCACAGAGCTGGGGATGTTGGCTGGGGCAGACCCTTGGGCTGAGGCTGCTGGCACTGCAGGGCAGATTTGTGTAGCTGTGACCTCCAGTTGTCTGTTTGTCCCTCTGTCCTCAGGTTGTGCTCCTGAAACCTGGTTTGTGTTTGCTGGCTGGCACTTGCATTGGCTGCTCTGGGCTTGCAGGCTGTTCCCATGCTGAGTCATTACTTACCATTCCATGGATTATTCTTTATTGTTTTTATTCTTGTGGCAGCCTGAGGTTCCAGTGGAGATTGGATGCTCCATGTTAGATAGACACAAAGAAGGGACTGTCCCCATGCCATATGGAGTCAGAAGTGAGTGAATGTCATTTTACAGGTGTGGGGACTGGAGAACAGACTGAGGGCAGGAAGTCTTAAAAAACTCTGAGATTGGAACTGATTCCTGCAAAAAAATGTGAGTAAGGGTGGTAGGATGTCCCCTTGGTCATTTTCAGGTCAAGATCATCAGTTCCTTCAAATGTAGGACTGTGATTCTTCTTGAGCTGTTACACATAGTGCTGGAGGTGCAGGATGGTGCAAGTGGAAGGTGGGACAGTCCCAAAGGAACCTCCTGGACCCCCTGTCCCTGCCTGCAGGACAGCAGGGTGCTACTGCAGTCAAGGTGTCGGCACGGGACCCCTCTGGATGCTCACAGCTCCATTAATACAGTTGGCCATTCAGTGGTTCATTTTCCTTCCTTTATGTGTTTCCAGGGGTCACAGACAAGGATTTCCAAATACACTGACAAGTGATTTTCCTCCCTTACTCTCGTCCCCTTGCAAGCACCCCCCAGACTGATGCCCTCAGCAGCCCCGTTATAAATGACACAGTCGTGCACGGGCTGTGGTGATGCAGCCCTGTCTCCTCTGACAGATGGACTGAGGATGATAAAATGGCTCTGCTCCAGACATCTCTGTCACTGCTGCTTGTGGGCCAAGCAATTTAAAGGGTGGGGGAGAATGTTAAAAAGCATCTGCTTTCCATGGAAGACTTCAGCTTTTCATTGAATGAAGCCAAACCCAAGCATTTTGGTTTGGAAATGTATGCTGTTGTCGTTCTTGTGAGCTGGAGCCTTCCTTGCTTGCAGCCCTTCTCCTTCCCTGTGGGCCTCCTTCCCACAGGACTGTGTTTCCCACGAAGCATCCCCATGACTGGGAGAGCAGAAGCTGTAACACATCAGGGAACTTGGATCTACCCGGGTTGTTTGTCATTTTCATGTTGAAATTTTTCTGCGTGGAAAAGAAGTCCCGATGTTTTCTGAGAAGCTTCAGACGAGAGCTGTGCTCCTGGTGACAGCGAGCAGAGACTCCTTTATCTGCTGGCAGAGGGCTGTGTGTGTTGCATCCCAGATGCAGGCAGGGATGTCGCTGTGTTCGCGTGACACGGAGCTTTCCCACTCCCACCCACTGCTGTTCAGCAGTGAGCCCTTTCTCTCTGCTACACTACTCTCAAAAGCTGGGCACATTGAAACATCCCCAGCTTTGTTTTGCACGGGGCTTCAAGCTACTTTAAATAACCATCCTAAAAAAACAGGGAAGGTTTCAAGTTGAACTTTTGCTATGTGTTCATTCTCAGCTCATATATTTGCATGAAATCATGACTTGTCACTGAGAAGGTAACACGATCTAGGCACATTTTTACCAGTTGGAGTTTCTATAAAAAGGCTAAAATGAAAAGGCTTGTTTGCTTTGATAAGGATTTAGCTGTAATGGAAATGTCTTTTATTGGAAGATGTTTTTATTAGTTTTCATTCTAGTGTTTGCAGTGAACTGACAAAGAGATTCTTCCCTCTTTATATTAGTATTAGACTGACACTCCTTGCTCCTTGCCTTCATTACTGTGTTGTAAAAACCAAGACAATATTTCCTTCCTTAAGCCACCCACTAACTCCCCTTGAGTAAAAAGAAATAGTGTAATTTATTACACCAAAAAATGCTGCTTAAAAAAGCAGTGAAGCTTTCAGGCACACAACATTTCTTCAGGTCTGTGATGAAAACAGTCCTAGAGTTAATTGCTGCTGCCCAATCTTAGAGGCTAAGGCCCAAGAGGGATTTGTCTTTTGCTGGTTTTTTCCCCCTCTCAAACATAATGTGCTCGAACAACATGTGGGACACAGGCCATGTTGTGTGGCTGATGGTTTTTTCTGTTTGTTGAAAGTTGCAAACTGGTACAAAACAAGTTTGTTCTTCATTGCAGCCAATTTCAGCCAGAGCTGAACAGGCTGTTCCCAGAGTCATCAAAACCTATGTAAACATGGCAGATTGACATTTCCGCTAACAGATGGTCCATGGGGGATTGCAGTAGAGCTGCCTGTTTCTTTCCACGTTTTTTGGTATTCACAAGATGCCTGCAAGAAGGTTTTCGAGCTTGCTCTGTGTGTGTGTCTGCGTATGATGCTCAGATCTCTCTGATGGCAAATATGCATGCAGGCATCTCTAACAGGACACACATTTGGTGCATGTGTGCAGATTTGTGTAGGTTCAGTGCTGAAATTTCCAGGCACTATTTGCTCAGTAACGTATGTTCCTTGGAAGAGGCACAGAAGCCATCAGTCAGGATGTAGCTGCAGAAAGCCTTTCAGATGGCAGCAGAAGCAAATTGAACACGCTCCTTGAGCACTTGCATGTGGAGATATTCCTTATTGTGAGCTCTCTGTGATCGCTTGGTTGATTTCTCGCTATTAAAGCGTAGTTTAATGATTGTCCACTTAGAAACAGAGCAATTAGGGAAGGCTTTTGGCTCAGAATATATTGTTGAGGATTGCAGAGAGAGAAATAGAAAAAACACTGCCTCAAGCATCCACATCTAAATTAGCAAATGTTTGGTAGCCACAGTTCAGATCTTGGACATCACTGTTCTGCAGGGTGTTGGCATATCAATGAGGCCTTTTGCTATTTGTTTGCTAAAAATTTGCTCCTGAGGCAGCAGCAAAGCTCCTGTGACCTGGGGGTGGTGCTGGGATGTAACATGGCTCTGCCTCCCACAAGGTGTTGAGCCATTTGGGTGCCTGAGTGAGGGTGGACAGAGGGTTTGGGAGCAGCTCTGGCCGCCCTTCAGCGCATACACAAATGTCCTTCTGCCAGCCCTGGCAGCACGAGGTAGCATTTGCTTCTTGCTAAATAGCTGACTTAGGAATGCCTGGCTCACATACAACATCTGGTGGTGTATTTCTACCTAATTTTCAGCCAGATGGACCGAGGCACAAGGAGGTCAAATGACTCACCCAAGGTCAGGCTGATGTCAGAAATCTCCTCGCTGTCTCAGCTGGACTCACGCTACGTTGGTGGTTGTTGGAATAGATTTGGCCTAAGGAGCAGGCACATATGCAGAGCAGGAGCCTGGGCTTCTACTGGCAGTGAGCAATAGAGGGTCAGTGGGTTTGAATGGATGTACAGGGTATCTTCACCCTGCACAGCCATCATGCTCACATCACCAGTATTCTGTGTGCATGTGTGAAGTCGCTGTTGTCAGATCAGCATTTTCTCCTCTCCATCAGCCTCTCTTGTACCCACACAATAATGTAGCATCTGTGGAACAAGGCCAGAGATTGGGCCTGTGTGGTCCTTAAATCTGAGTTGTGTGTTTACGTGTATATGTATGTGAGTACAAGCAAGGCTCAGCTCAGGTACATGCAGGACAGCCCAATAAAATCAAAACCTGGAAAGAAAATACTTTTCTGCCTGTGAACTAATAGTCTGAGCTGTTAAATAACTTCAGCTCTTAAAGATACACATTTCCCATACACAGAGGTGTGCATTCAAGAGTTTATTGCAAGGGGAAGCTGAAAGAACCCAGAACAAATTGCATTCAGCCCATATAATTTAATTAGATCTACAAACAAGGTAACACTGGTTGCCCAGGGGATTTAAAGCTGAGCAAAGAATTGCTTGGTGGTCTGTTGTAAAAAAAAAAAAAAATTAAAAAAAATTAAAGCCCCCAGTTTTGTGCCTCTGTGTCAATGAGGAATGGCAGAGTGTTTTCCCAAGTCCTGGCTTGGGACTCTTGTCTGTGGTGCAGAGCGAGCGGTTTAGCAGAATGTCCAGCTCCTACTGGAGCACACAGGGCACTGCCCGCGGGTGGGGGTCCTCCTCTGTGCTGTGGAGCATGGCTCCTGCCAAAGCAAAGACTGTGGGCACTCAGCTCCAGATTTCCCTGTCGCTTTCTGGCTCTCTGGTATTTCTCAGTAGGCTTGTTCTGCTCTGGGCTGTTGCAGCTTTGCAGGGAGTTGATTTTAGTGGACCTCTAAATGATGTCTGTGCCATGATTTACCCACTGGCCTCACAATTTGAGAATCAGTGGAAAGCCCCTTATGCAACCAGTTGTGAACCATCTGGCATCTTTTATCCCTGTGCTCTGCATCAGCCCATGTAACAGCAGTAAAGCCAGTTCTAAGGCAGGGACCGTGTGAGTCCATTGCAGAGCATTTTTATTTTGATGCTATCAGAAGTGTCCTCCACATTTATGGTATTTTCACAACTTGGACTTTCCTTTTTCAAGCTGCTTCTCATTTCACATGTATGAGGATAAGAATTCATGTCTGTGATAACTGCATCTTTTCTCCTGCCACTTTTCTCCTGCAGTCTTCATGGAATAAATCATCAAACCAGGCCTGGACAAACAGCATCACCAGATATGGGGACACCATCACCAAAGAGCCTCTCTCTGCTGTCAATGGGTCACTGAAGCTCCCTTCCAGCACGGGGCAGAAGCTTCTCTTACAAGCCCTGGTTTATGATGCTGTGATGGTGGGTATCTTTGCTGCTTTGTTGACTTGTGTGTTCTCATGTGGGTTTTCCATTTATGTTCTCCATCTCCCTTTCTCCTTTTTGCAGCCCCTTTCTGTGGGCTTGTTGGTCTGGTGATGGCCAGGTGGGGTCAGAAGCTTGACAACCAGGTGGTTATCAGCAAAGTTGTGGCAGTTCTGGTTCCTGAGGACCTGGTGCCAGGCACCAGCAGTCTGCTTGGAGTCTTTGCTGTGGCTGTGCAGCAATCAGCCTGAGTGAGTTAGGAGCTGCAGTGCTCCTCACAGTCATTAAGATCTACAGCATGCTTGCCTGACAGAGGGATTGTATTTTTGGCTGTAAAAGGAGACAAAGATCAAGGGTTGATTTAAACTCCCTTCTCCAGATAGGGCAGAGCAATTTTCACTGCACTTGTGGTCTGGGAGGAAATCCTATTTCTGATACTGCATCACTGGAATAAATATGCACTCCTGTGTTTGGAGAGTGTACATCTGCGTAACTGTCTTAGCAAAGCAAGCTGACACCTGCTCAGACTGACTCTGTACCAGAAGATTTCTCTGGGTATTCTTTGAAAAAGTTCATTCCCCCTCCCCAGCAAATACTTCTGAGTAGCCTACCTATGTTTCCTTCCTAGGCAGTGGTGTGAAAATCAATTATACACAGGATGTAATTAACATTGTGGATAGAGTTAAGACAATGTTTTACAGCCCAATTACAGGGCAGCATTTACAGCACAGCTTACCCATCAGAGTTTGTCAACAAAAGAGAAAAGTGTTAAAATATGTAAATGATGCTCAAAGTTGGCTTCAACAGAAAGCGCAAATTACACGTGGGATATCACTTCCATGCTCTGAATTGTCTTCTTGCTGCTACATCACACTCAGCCCAGAATCTGAGCGTTGATTGCCTAGAGAGCTCTTTGTGAGCTTCTACAATAATTTGTCTGGTAAATTATTGAGTGATAATCTCACAAAATGACCTGCTTGTCAGCCAGATTTGTGGAGATCTGTAGCCTGCACTCCACTTAAGCACTGCAGAGCAGAACTTACTGTTTTCTTTCTGAATTTAAAATGCTTGACTTTACACAGACTTTTGTAGGCTGTGACCAGGGCTTTAACAAACACACACTTTGTGATATGTAGCCAAAATTAAATGAGGAGAGTAAAGGGAGCCCCTTTATCCATCTCAGAAGCCAGTTTCCTACAGTGCTGCCCACTCAGCCTCTAGCAATCTGGCCCTGAATATGGAAACAGACTGGTGAGATTTGAAAATTGTGGTCTTTGACAGAGGCTTGGAGAAATGGTTGCTCCAGCCTGCCAAGAAACTCTGAGCAAATCACTTCTCTCCCTTGGGACTTGCTTTCTCAAACGTAAAATAGAAATAATGATCCTGAGGTGATTTGAGTTGCTTCTTAAGACCTAAGCCCTGAGAAACATATCAAGATAATGCTTAATAGAGGCATATGTACATCCCATTGCACTCAGCGGGATTAAAAATAAATAAATTCTAGTGCTTGGTTTAGCCACAGCCTCAATTATCTGAATTTCACTTACTTTACCTTTTTTTTTTTTTTTTTTAAATTTCTCTCCTGTTTGATAACAGAATGAAGCAAAGAAAAGCCACCTGCCAGCCAGCATCCACCAAGTAGAAGCAGAAGTCATCGTCCATTCTGATTTTTCAGCCTCTGACAGAGACTACAACTCCCAGCTGCACACCCTGGAGAGTGAAGAGACAGAAATCGAGGACCAGGAGCCAGAGGAGCTCCCCTCAGCAGAGCTGGCTAATCCCAGTTCCCAGCAGGACACTGGCCAAGTGCTGGTGGACTGCATGGACAATCTGGAGGCTCAGGCCCAGGCTGAGCTGCTCTGTACCGACACAAAGACTGACAAACCTGAGGCTGTGTGCATCCATGGGCTCACCAATGGCTTCCACAGGCATGGAGAAAGTCTGGATTCGGAGGAGAGTGGAGATTCAGATTCCACCCAGGAAGGCAGGGGTGATGTGCAGCCAGTCAAGTGCCAGTTGCTTTCCCCGGCACCTGAGGAGGCCCTGCTCTGTAGTAACTCTGGTTTAACCAGTCCTTCCTCAGCATCTGAGAACATGGCACATGTCCACAATCACAAAGAATGAGCTGGTCTGATTTTGATCACAGCAGAGTTGAAGCATGAGGAGAGCCTGTCCCTATGAGGTGCTGCCTGTCTTTGGCTGGCTGAGCCCAGCAGGAGCTGGGCAGGTGCAGCATCTCACCAGAGCAGGGCTTGGACCTGTCAGCTCTACAGAGGCCTTCAGGAAGCCAGGTGGGTTGGTGAGGGCCCATCTTCCTCCTGCTGAAGGCAATGAGGAACTGCGTGTTGGTGGGAGCAGGACTGAGCCATCTGCCAAAGTCTGAGTGGAACCACGATGGAACAGAGCCTTCTGCACTAGGCTGGGGCTGTCACTTCACCATAGCCCTCGAGGGGACTGGCAGCACGTCCTTTAATGCTGGGAAGTGGCAGAGTGCACCGAGGGATCCTTCTCAGCTGCCTCTTCCCCAGGCAGTGCCCGGGCACTACTGACTGTGTGGCAGTGTTGGATGAATTCTGGCACAGGAATCCCAGGAGCGGGTGGAAGCCCCAGAAACAAAGACAGTGAGCTGTAAGCACCAGCCTTTTCTGCCCTCCCGTGGTTAGAAGGATTACCAGGCCCTCTGTGTGTGCTACCACAGTAACTACTACTAGCAGGCTGATGTAGTGGCCTTTTATTACACACTCTACGAGTGCCTCTAACAACTTGTACTATATAGAACCTTCTGCAGCGTCTGGGTCTTTTCACCAGCCTGGGCTTTGTTTTATGTAGGTTCTTGTACCTAATATTTTAGGTACACATCTGTCCTTTTAATGTACAACATGTATTTTTATTTCCTTGGAACATCTTTATATTATTTAATTTTATAAAGTGGAATAGTGTGTGGTATAGAGTAGCATTTTTACTACTTCTCTCTTTCTTTATTTTTTCCTCCCTAACAACACAACTACCTCATGTCTGTTGGAGAAAAAAAAAGCAGTAGATCTACTCATTTGTTATAGTCCATGATAGGTTTTAACTTATTCTTATACTGCCTTTTTCTAAAGAATATGTTTGCACTGGTTGTTGACTCTTCTTTAACACGTAGTGCTGCAGATCTGATGTCTCTCGCTTTGTTTCTTGACACCTTCCCTACAGCCAGAGAGTTGGGTTGTGTCTCTCTGTAGGATTGTGTTTTGCAGCAGCTGCCAAAGGAGTCTGCTTTAGCTGGCAGGATGTCGATCCATCTTTCCTCAACAAACTTATACTAGCAAATAGAAAGAAGAACCAGCAATTGCAAAAGTAACTTGTGATACTGGGGACATGTATTTCTTTTCTCTTTTTTTGGGTGCCTGTGTGGAGACATCTCAGATGGTTTTGATTTACAGAGAGCACCACTCAGCCTTCTGTAAGAAGTGGACTTGCTGAAAGCTTTGGATGAACAAGTGAAATGTTCCAGTCACTTTTGATAGTCCTGGCCAAAGTGCTTTTGGGTGGGTTTTTCTTGAAGAGCAGAGCACCACCAGAGTTTTAAAATGAAATCTTTGGTCTCATACCAGTCAGTCTGGCTTGAAAATCATCCAGTGACTCTTCCTGCTGATGCTGTTTGCTTACTGCTCACATGTCTCTCAGCCTGGCCCTGCTGGGGGTGGACTTTTCTCTACTTTTTTTAGCTGGTCTCTGTGCTGCTCCAGGCTTGAAGGGTTTGACTGCGAATGCTACAAGATTGGACCAGCTGCTCGGAGTTAACAAGGATCAGTAATTCTGTTCATGGGTGTTTGGTGAATGTTCTGCCTTCCTGGAGGATTCAGACATCTCACCATTTGTTTAAAAAGTGAAGGAAAAGATGCCCACCCTCCTCTTTACTTACTAAAATTTTCCCCATGGTATATGGGGAAACTGTGTGCCAACTTGAGATCCTGTGAAAGACTTTGGATTTTGTTTTTCCTGGTGATGACTGGATGGAGGTACCACTGCTTGCAGCATGGAGAACCTCACTTCACCAGCACCCTGCAACCCTTTTACCTCCAGCTTTTCAGCAAATGAGAACCTCCAAGCCTCCCTGTACTCTGATGGGAAGGATATTGGAGCTTCCACTTCTCCCCAGATGGCAGCATCTCCTCCCAGTATGACACACTGTTCTGGTAACCAGCTGTATTTCCAGTCATTGTGACTGCTCTGTTTCTCCAGCTTGGTGTCTTGAGGAGTCTCATAAATGCTGTTCCATGCTGTGACTAGCCATGACTCTGGAATGCTGTGGGACAGAGACTGGAGATCAGTGCCAGTGAGCAGGCCAAGGCAGGAGTTTGTGTGTGCTATTGGAGCGAGAAAAAGGCAAGGAAACGTAACTGGGCAGAGGAAGTGTGTAAATAACCTCCAGAACCCACTGCCACAAGACTTTGAAACTCCTGACTTAGCAGGGTTACAGATAAGCAGTGAAGTGTTATTGCAGGCAATAAGGGCAATTGTCAGTCTCTGGGAGCGGATGCAGTCACAGAGGTACAAACCCTCGGCTGGGCAGGGCCGGGCGCTCGCTGCGGAGAGCGGGGGACATTGTGCAGGTGGCCCTCAGGTCCCAGTTCCATGAAGAGCCCTTGCCCTTCCTCAGTGACAGAACAGGCCCTGCACAAGCCACACTGCCATTGCCACTTTCCATCCAGAGGGATGGAAGGGGACGGAGGCTGATGTAGGAGTGTGGGGCAGTTTTGGGGGCGCTCTCTTGTACGTGCACCCCCTGCTTTGCCTGTGCAGCCTTCAGCAATTCTACAGCCCTGAGCTGCCTGAGAGCTGTCCCTGCCTGTCACTGCACCCACACAGCAGGGGCACCATTCCCCTGGATCGCTTTGGGCCGACCACCAAACCACCCACAATAGTTACAGAGGGCTTTGGGGAGATGCAGCAGACCACAAACAATTTTGTTTATGTGTCCCCAAAGCACTTTTGTCACCTTATGCTGAGGCTTGTTCTGATCTCATTACACTTCACCAAACTGTACCAGGGTGTGAAGCTGGCAGTGTTTGGCTGTCCAAGAACTGTAGTGGCCATGGGCTGGTAGGCCAGACCTGAGTTGCAGAAATCCAGACAGTTTCCTTGGAGCCAAGAGGTCACCACTGACCAGCAGCACCTGGATGAACACACATCCACACAGAGTGCTGGGTGTCCTTGTCCAGCCCAGCTGTGCCCCAGGTCCCCCCTGCCCTGAACGTGCAGGGACCGTTCAGTCTCAGCTGGAAGTGAATTGAAGAAGACACATAATACACATTTGATGTGTAAAGCTGAAACAACCAGTGCATATATTTTTTTATCATGAAATAAGTAGCTTTCGTGCAGATTTCTCACAGGCACGCAAACTCTTGATACCTTTAATTACCCATCATGCTTAATATCTCTTCCTGTACCCCAGGCTCCTTTCTCCATTTTCTTCCTTTCAGTAACACTAAAGATTATTGCTGTTCAAATTTTTTGCTGGTGTATATTGTTTTACATTGTTAAAATGTCAGGTTTGTCTCACTGGCATAATTTTCTAGTATTAATGTTACTGTTTGGCTACACAACTGTATATTCCCCATGCTGCTGTGAGAGTCACAATTCTCATCCTTTTATTTCTTTTCATCTCTTGTTATGTGAAACATGCAACTCAGATAAAAACCTCTATCAGCTTTTTGTTGACTTGATTTCTTGCTTAACAGGCAGCAAAGTTCTGGTTTAAATAGTTCTAAAGAGATAACTTCTAATTTAGAGTTTGAGAATTTTTTTACATTACTAGATAACAATCAGCCCATGAAATATTGCTGTGTAAGAAAACAACCATTTTACTAGAACACTGTATATGGTTTTGATCTCATTAGTAATAGGTGTTTTGAAGGAATCATTGTGTCTTTTCTAATCAATACTTTTGTTAGAAAGGAAGTGTTTAACTAGCAGAAATCTACCATCTACTTCTGTTACTGTATTCCCTTGCTTGTATTTTCAAGTTAAATTTCATTTTCTGCACAGTGCATAAAGATGTGTAACCAGAACTTGATCTTGTTTGAAGGTTGTGTCTGTATTTGGTTCCATACTGTACTTTATTATAACTTTCTTTCTTCAGAGACTGTTCTTACTCCACAAATACTCTTTAGTGTTAAAGTGTAAGACATTGTCCTTATATTCCTTAACTAATGGGTTATTAATAAAATGTTTTTTAAAAGGAGTGTGATTTTACTCACAATTAAGTCTGTTCCAGCTGTGTGAGGCTGTACCTCGCTGGCAGAAGCAGTGGTGGGAGCAGAATGCAGGATTCATGCTCATCACCATGAAGGTTGGTATTGTGAGATGATAGTGGTACCTGGTTCCTTAGGGATTCTTCTGGAATTTCAGACATGAGCAGAGTTTGGATTCATTAGGCATTTCTGGATGCTTGCTCCTTCCTCAGTTTTGAACTGATTCCTATAGGAAAAAATATTTGTCCAGTTTCATGCTTTATCTTGCTGGGAATTTTTTAATGGTAAAAATAAGCAGAGGCATCTAGCAATGAGTGGTGAGATTTCTCTTGGATGGCACACTGGGCTGAGCACTTGGTGGCTTGTGTCCAGCAGGACTGGTGAGAGGATACCTGCCAGTCCCCAAGGACACCCTATTAACCTCCCGTGCATCTCCCTTCTTCCTGGGATGCATTCCCTACTTCAGTACATAGTTTCCATTATTACTTTATGCTGCCACGACTACAGAGCCATAAAATCTCATTTTATCTGCATTACAGAGGTAATAAATCTGCACTTAGCACAGTGTTCTCTGATAGTGGTTAAAGGGAACTCTGTCAGACTGTGTAACTCTGATGAGTCTTTCTCCTAATGATAGGTAACCCCACAAACGAGCAAGGAAGGACCTTGGAGGGGGTGATGGGTGACTGCAAATCACTCTTCCAGTTCATAGGATGCTGATTGGAGGCTGCTGAGAGGAGCCACGGTGGGATGGAATAGAAGACAGAGATGGACAGACACAGCAGTTACAGGAGAGAAGTGAAGAGCAAAGCGTCAGGTTTCGTTTCTTTCTCTTCCCAACCTTTGTCATCCTGACACACCTGTGTAAGGATGCAGCTGGAAATA